CTCTCGGAACTGGCCGGCACGGCAGCGTTCGCCGCCCGAGGCAGCGGCCTTGCGTGGCGAGCTATGGGCAGCGGTGCGCCGGGGTGCCCAGCCCAGCTGGTGCCTGGCTTTGAGCGGCCCAGGGGCCTGGGGCTGCCGGTGAAAAGCTGTCTGGGAGGAATTGTGGTTCTTTTTATTGTCAGCAGCTTTGCTCCCGTGTTTGTGCAGCTAGATCGCACAGAGAGGATCAAGAACTGCCAAAACCCTGAATTCTCCAAGAAACTGGTTGTGGACTACTACTTTGAGAAAGTGCAGAAGTTGAAATTCGGCGTGTATGATATAGATAACAAGTCCTTTGATTTAAACGACGATGACTATCTTGGAGGCATCGAGTGCACACTGGGACAGGTATGCTCAGGGGCGTGTTGAGTGATCTATGAAGAGCAGCAAGTACTGGGTTGATTATGAAACATGGGGTGAAAGCCTGCTTTATCAAAGGCTTTAGCACATTCACCTTTGAAAACATCTTGTTGAACAGGTTGCATTACTGTTGAACGTGGTTAGAAAAATCCCTGTGTCAGTCACAAAGTGAAGGTTAGAAATACATGTGGTTTACAATTAATTGCTTAATTTAGGACATGCTTGTAGCACTAAAGGCAGTCTGGGAGTAAGGAAGGCATGGTGCTTGGAGAGCTCCAATGGAGTGTCCTTTGCACAAAGTGATCCCATCAGGCAGTAAATTTCAGGGAATAAGGCTCTTTGAGATTCTGTATTCATTTCCTGAGGAGGGGTTTGTATAGCTAGCTGGGAGAAGAAAAGGGGGATTCATCTTACTGAAGAAAGACTTGATAAAGTCTTCTGATTTTTAACAGCTTCTTGTCTGATTGTGATGAAAATGTGTCTTGGGGGTAGCAAAAATAGGAGGCTAAAGTTAAGTTTGGAGACACGTTAGTGGGTACTGTTTTGTGGTTAGTGAGGGAAGATAATTTTCTGACTCTTTAGCCATTCAGGAGCACAAACTGTTACGGCTCTCACTGTTGGAAACACATTTAAATCCCTTCAGATCTTTTTAGGAGAGTTTAAAAATTTTGCTCCTGAAGTGTAATTCTTTGCTTTTTGTCTAACTTGAGATTTACATTATTTGTCTTTTAACCTCAGGTAGTGTCCAGCTCGGTGTTCACCCGACCGCTGGAACTGAAGCAGGGAAAGCCAGCAGGAAAGGGCACTATCACGGTACTTAAGGTTTTTTGTGTTGAAAAAATGGTTTCTCATTCTTTCATATGTTGTCTGGGACAAAGTAAAATTTCTGATTTTCTGTCAGTTTCTCTTCAAATGATACATGTGCAGGAAAAAGGTATTTGTAACTACAGTTTCTTTCAGAGAGAAGATAGGAGCAAAACCCTCTGGGGTTTCTGGTTTAATTTTTTTTTTTTTGTGTGTGTGTGTGGCACAGATTTCAGCAGAGGAGATTAAAGATACCAGGGTTGTGTACTTGGAAATTGAAGCCCGAAACTTGGACAAAAAGGTATTGATTTTTCAAAAGCAGAATGCACGCTTCTGCAGTATCTACAGTTAGTGTCTTTTGGCCAGGAATCTCTCTATATTTGCATTCATTCAACTAGGCTGGGTAATATATGCATGAAAAAAAGTCTATCTGTGTTTCGTTACTTACAGTGAAGTAAACTGGAGACATAATTCCATGTTGAAAACCACAATGTCAAACCAGAAACTCAACTGCCAGGTTTAGGTTTTGAGGAATTATTTTGGCTTTGGAATATTAATATATGAATACATACATATATATGATTATACATTGTTTATTAATGCAGTGCAATTGCATAATTGTCTCCTTTGAATATTGTAGCTGTGAACTGAGCTTTCTGTAATGTTATTGAGGAAGAAAAGGTGGCAATTTAGGTGCACTGCCTCCTGTTGGTACAGCCAAAAAAGCCAGCCCAGGGATTTAGTGACCTCACTGCTCAGTCAGCAAAATGATGTGATTTATAGCGACAAAAATGGTCTGAGGAGGAGGTCTTGAAATCAGAGCTGATATATTCTGATGACTTAGAAAGTGAAGCAGTTCAAAAGAGAAAAGTAGAATAAAAGAAATTTATAGTTTCCATGACTTTGTGCTTTTGAGTACTCTGTACTGATTAGTCAGCTCCCCTCTCATGTGAGTAAAATACAGGATGCTGATTACCTCTGTTGGTTCTTTTTTTTGTGTCCTTTGCAGGATTTCTTGGGTAAATCGGATCCATTTTTGGAGTTTTACAAGCAGAGTGATACTGGAACTTGGCAGCTGATGTACAGATCAGAGGTAGTATTTCTACACTGATGCTTTTCTTGACTTGATAGGACAGCTTACTCCTACAGAAAGTGGGAGTCCCACTCCTGGTCATGCTTTGCACCAGTTCTGCAGTGAAAGTTGTCCCTTATCCTAAAAGAGGGATTCTGCTCACTGACCTGGCAAATCGTTTATTTTCTGCCTGGGGACTGGATTACGCTGGCTCACTGAAGAATCCAGCCACGTACCAGGTGAGAAGAGTGGTAGTACTCTTCTCCTTTTCAGTGGTGATAAGCTGTTAGGTTGACTTGGATCTAAAATTTAATTTCACCCTGAAGTTCAAGCTTTTATTTCTTAGAGAGCTGTTGCTTGGCTGTCCGTGCACGTCAGGGTCTGACTGGCTGAGGCTGTTGGAACCCTCATGTTATGTTTCTTAGTGACTTGCACACCACATCCCTCACATGACATTGTGCTGTAATTTTTTTAAGGTGATTAAGAACAACTTAAATCCATGCTGGAGGAAGTTCAGTGTTCCCTTGCAAACATTCTGCGGTGGAGATTTTAATAAACCTATCAAGGTACAGCCTTCAAAAATTCTGTTTGTTATTGTAAGTAATCTAATCTTTTTTGATGTTAACTGTGAGTTATCAGGTTGTCTAATCATTTAAATTTTTAGTTTGTCTTTCTAGAATAGTAGTGTGGCAGGTAAGTGATTATGTGTCTGTTAAGTTGTTGAGAAATAGGGAAATGCAGAAGTGACACACTTTCTAATGATAAGTCATAAGAAGAATTATAACTGATTTTTTTTTTTACTGTTGGCAGGGTTTCAGGTTAGGTTCTGGTGTTTGGGGAGGGGGGAAGGGAGGTTGGTTGGTTGTTTGTAGGTTTTTGGGTGTATATTTTTCCCCCCTTTAAATTGTGGCTTTTCAGCACTGTTCCTGACTTAATGGAGAAGCTCATGTTTGAGTGCCTTAGGATACTGACACAGCAGGCAAGTTAATGCACCTGTCAGTCATCCGTTCATGAGGGTGGCAGGCTTGTCCCAACGCTTTTTCACTCTGCGCCGACTATAAATTTGGTTTTGAGTCAGAACTGCAACTCCTTCTGGTCTTGTACCTGATGACTAATTCTCTTTGGTCCTGACTTACGGAGGTAGTAGCAGAACTATTACATCTTATAATAAGTTTCTACAAAAGAAAATCTGCTAGCAACTTAATTTGTTAATTTCTGTTCTAAGCAATGCATTGATAATGTAAAGGCATTTGAATCCATAGAAAGTTCTGTGTTAGTCTCTCTCTACTTATCCAACTCCTAAACATTTTCCGTTTGCAGAATTTTCCTGCCTCTCTGAAGAAATCTCATGCTGGAAGCTTGATCTGAAAGGTTTAGAAAAAAGCATGCATGCTAATGTTTTTATTTTTGCAGCATGGCACATCCAAAGAATTAGAGAATATTAACCTGGAAATAGATTATGCTGTTTTTAGTCAGGACAGAGTTAATTTTCTTCACAGTGGCTGGTGTGAGGCTGTTTTAGATTTGCCCCGGGAATAGTACTGATGAGGGGTTTTTTAGTTGGTGCTAAGGAGTGCTTGCACTAATTCAAGGACTTTTTCAGCTTTTGATACTGCAGGTGTGTTCCCAACTGCGTCATTACAAGCAGTGTCTGGGGACACACAGGTTGGACAGCTAGCCCAAACTAACCAAAGGCGTATCTAATTACATAGCACAGCATGCTCAGTGTATCAGCCAGAGGGGAGAGCTTGTTTGGTTAGCTCGCTTGTTCGTGCGTTCATTAGTGAGTTGGTGGGTCTGTTGGCTTTTCTTGGTTGTGCTCTTATCTGTGGGGCTTGCTCAGACTCTGCTGCATTCGCTCTTGGGCACTCAGGCTCTGAGTCTCGCTGCTTGGGACCCGGCTGTGTATTGGTCGGCGGGTAGTGAGCAGTTGTAGCATATGTTTTATTTTCATTACATGTTGTTAGTAGTATTGTTAATATTATTGTTATCACTTTAATACTCATTTATATTCAATTATTAAATAGTTCTTGTCTCAAACCAGGAGCTTCCTTGACTTTTCCTCTGACTCTCCTCCACAGGAGGAGGCGAGAGCGGCTGCGGGGACTTGATTGCTAGCCGAGGTTAAACCACCACACATGTGCAAGTAGTCCGTTAAGGCTCACAACAGAGCTGTGAAAAAGGATCGTGCTGTTCTTGTATTTAACAGGTTAGGGAAGTCAGAAAGGGGAATCCAGGATGAATGGCAGGAGTTTCACTAGCAACACTAAAGAATATAGCAGTGCACTGGTGGTTTTTTTTTTTAATCTGGTATTTGCTGCTCTGAACCTTTTCTTTGAGGCTTCCAGAAATATATGTAGGAACAATTACATGTGTAATAATGGTAGTCAGTGAAGGGAGAACTCCTTATACTGGAAACAGCTGTTTTGATGTGTCCCCTAAACATCAGCTTTGCCAACTGGTTTGTGTGTGTGAACATAAATCTGTTGATCAAATTAATGATGCTACCTAATATTTTGGTAATTGTTTCTTCATTGTGATGTTCTTTTTCTGTGTGAAGAACAGCTCAAATTTGTGACACAATCTTATGTTCTTGACAGTTTCTTTTAAAAATAGGGGCAAATGAAAGTAGTGTCTCTCCTTCATAGTTATTTAAATGGAAATAGCAAATGTGGAAGTTGTGGGTGTTGGTATTGAGATTAAAACTGCCAGTCCATGTATGTGATGGTGCATACATAAAGGCAAATCCATTTTCTGTGAATTTTGAAAGTTCCTGCTGTAGATGAAAGCGGCCCTTTACCTGCTAACTGTATTCCAAGGCACATAATGGGTATTGATAGTTCATTTGTGTAGAACAATTCATCAGTAAATAACTATACAGCATGCTGCAGTATTGCTGCCAGGATTTTGTTTGCAGCAGCACCACACTTTGGGCTGCATACAGTGAACCTTGGCTAGTTTTAGAAAACCCTTGCAGAGCGCTTTGTTTTAAGCTGTATCAATGAAACTGGTCCTAAATACAATTTTATTCGTGTGGCTGAGAGGGGTAGCAGGAGCCAGGGGGAGGGAGGAGGACATGCATGGGGGCAGCAGCTGCTGAATTCTCTGCAGGTGTTTTGGTGTGGAGGAGACCCTGTGCCAGAAGTCACCCTGGCTGCTGCATGAGGGCCTCCTTCACCAGCCTCCCTGGCAGAATCCAGTTGCTTTTGGGTGTTTAAACATCTGAATCGTGGAGAGATGCAGAATGGAGTTCAGGCAGGAGTGTGGGAGTTGCTTCGTGGTGGAGTGTGCAGGAGAGGAGTGGAAGTGGTGGGTTGGGAAGGATAGTGGGTGAGAAGGGGGGCACAGTCTCCAATGTGGTTTTGCTGTCCTGTTAAGAAGGATGGCATGGTGTTTCCCACTGAGGGGGGCTAGATTATGCCATAGCTCTTTGTGCAGGTTTCCCACTCATACCAGGGGAGGCTCCTTAGTGGATCAGAGTACTCCTAAAAGAATCCTGTCTGAAATTCAGCTGTCTAGCCATTGAACTTTACATCCGTATCAAGGTGTTACCCATGGGTTCATCTTGTCCCTTCATCCTGAGGAGAATGCTGTCACTGGTTTATACTGGAGTAACATCGGTTTCTTGATTGCTGAAGACAGATCTCACCTTTTTACTGTGTATCACGGGAACTTCTGCAGGGGGAGGAAGCAGCTGTTCACAAAACTGTTTCTTGATTGAGTGGTTTTGGAATTACATGTGTGCTGCAGTCGTGTGTATTGTGCATGTTGTAAATGCTCCTCGTAATTGATTTTGTGGGGAGCTGTTGACAATATACATCGTACTGTGTTTGCTCAAAGCCATGGCTATTAGCATATTTTTATTTTTAAATGCATTGCTCTTTTGCATTATCTAGTTTTGAAGCTTTCATGCCAATTTAAATATGACTGGTTATTAAGTACTTATAACTTGATTGGTATTAGATGCAGAAAAAGGCTTAGATGCTCTGTGGAAATTGCTGTTTCTTTGTAAGTCTGCTATTGCTGGGCAGAAGAAAAGAGTGTATTTAGAAAGTGCTCAGATAATGAACTTTGAGTTGCTTCTTCCTATTACCCCCGTTGCATATATTGTCCTGAATGATCTCGCATTTGAACATCTGGGCTGTGAAATACTGAGGTTTTGACGGTGGTCTCGTGTGTGAGTGTGGGTTTTTTTGGTAGGGTGTTTTGTTGTTTTTTTTTACACACATGTTTAAACTGAGGAAAGCTTGATTAAAACTTCCACTGTGTGTCCTTATATGGATGAGCAGTTGGATGTCCCTTTTTGAGATTTCACGGATGTCTCATCAGGTTTCAGTTAGTGATATGGATGACACCATCAGTTCAGATGTGATAGGAGAGGTCAGTAGCACGGCTGCAAAGCCATTGGAAGCAGCAGATCACGTGGTGAGCAGCTGCTGTTCTCCATAGTGCAGTACGCTTACCACTGCTTGTTCTCTCTTCCCTTTCAGGTGCAGTGTGCAGATCATGACAACGATGGGTCGCATGACTTGATAGGCACTTTTGAAACTAACCTGACTCAGCTGCAGAAGGCAGGTGATGGCTCTCAGGTGAGCTTTCTCATTCCCCTGCTCAGTCTGTAATTCTGTCTTTCACAAACCCTTTTTAATATTGATCTCAGATATCTTTTTAGTTATTGCTTCCAAAAGTGATTTTTTCCTGTCCATATCTTTGTATTACTAAGCCACCATTTGGAAAGAATAAAACATGGTATGGGAATTATACTGCTCTGTTTTCCTTGGGTATGTTACCTATTCCTTAAGACATCCTTGGGCCTGTTGTCTGCTGGCTGCCAGCCACTTTTCCCAGCAGTTCAGCTTGCTTTTGTGTCTGTGGAGTCAAGTGGAAATAAAAGGGTTTGTCCGTGCTTCAACAAACAAGTCCAGAGGTAGGACTTGTCTCAGGTAACGTTTGGTCACCCTCATGAGCACTCTGATCGCCTTTCTAGCTAACAGAGAGAAGCAGTGCATCCCAAGGGGCACTCTTCTTGCCTTGTCTTGGGCATCCAGTTTAGAGTAAGTTGGATCACTTGCTGGTGGTGCCAGTTTCTCTCTGTTGTCTACAGTGAGAACATGACGTAGCCTAGGACTGTTTGCAGTTGCCAGCCAGCTTGATTTCTGTGGGTATAATCCTAAGGCTGGTCGAAGATTCTTGCCTTTTTCCCTAGCCCATGTGAAGTCAGAACTAATGTGAATGAAACAAAAGATTGAAACATGGCTCTTGGGAACCTGCGCCCTAGGCAATTTTTTGTTTCCCTCATCCTGAGATCTTGCCTCCTTTTCTTCTGAGTGTATTCCCTTCCCTTAACTGAAAAAGAACCCTATTACATCAGGAGAAATGCTCATATTTGTGATTGACTTTTTTCTCTCTGATGCAATGATGTTGTCCCATGATTGCATACAGAATAACAGTTATGTTGTTGAGGAAAGAGACTTTCCTGAGGTGTTTTGCCCAGTACTGGTAGCAGAAGCATCCCATTTAACTCACCAGACAGCAGCCTAAGTAGTTGCAATCCTTTTTGAAATCAAGTTTCAGAATTCTGCTAGATGTTTGAGCAACTCTGAAATTTTGGGGTGTCTGACACCATTCTGTTTCAGTAATTTGTCCTGCTATAAATGCAGATATTTAGGAACTTGTTCCTTGCATGTTTGCTTTCTTAGGTGGAATTTGAATGCATTCATCCTGAGAAAAAACAAAAGAAAAAGAGCTACAAAAACTCTGGTATTATTAGGATAAAATCATGCAAGGTAGGAGGATTTTGGGGTTTTGGCTTTTTTATGTTTTTATTGTAATGAAATCTCCTCTTACAGGGAGGAGGTGTAATGCTGTTTGTCTGTTCCTCTAGATTGAGACAGAATATTCGTTTCTGGACTACGTCATGGGAGGCTGCCAGATTAACTTCACAGTGAGTTGCTTCCCCACTGCACATCCCGGTAGATGACAGGGCAAGAGCAATGAAGTTGTGATTAGTACTTTTATTTGCAGTGTGAATGACTGCAAATGCAGTGTGAATTTGCAGTGATGAAGACTGCAAAAAACCCCCGAGACCCCACCTGCAGTGCTGTGTCCAGCTTTGGGGCCCCCAGCATAAGAAGGGTATTGACCGGTTGGAGCGAGTCTGGAGGAGGCCACAAAGATGCTCACAGGGCTGGAGCACCGGCAAGTGGGGAGGTTTAGATTAGATATCAGGAAGAAGTTCTTACTGGAGAGGATGGTGCGGCACTGGGACAGGTTGCCCAGAGAAGGTGTGGATGCCCCATCCCTGGAAGTGTTCAAGGCCAGGCTGGATGAGGCTTGGAGCAACCTGGTCTAGTGGAAGGTGTCCCTGGCCAGTTTGGAACTGAATGATCTTTAAGGTCCCTTCCAACCCAAACCATTCTCGGACTCTGTGAAACGATACTATATTTTCACTTTCTCTGATCAAGTAGCAACTTTAATGGAACTAGGGTTTCTTAAACTTCTTTTGAAGTTCAGTCTGTCAGTGGAAAGGATTACTACTTCTTAAACATGCATGCACCCCAGTGGGTAAAGGTACGCAGGCTTGTTTGCTTGTCTCTGTATAGGGCTGCCCCTGTGCTCGGGAGGAAGGGAGCTGTGTGGGCCTGGCTTCACCCTCTGTTTCCGGGTATGGTTAGTTCTTCCAGTTTACTTATGGTGACACATCAGTGACTTGCTGTCATCGTCTTGACTGATTAGGTGGGTGTAGACTTCACTGCTTCCAACAGAGAGCCCAAGTCACCAGATTCTCTTCACTACATCAGCCCAGATGGGATAAATGAGTACCTGATTGCCATCTGGAGTGTGGGAAGTGTAGTCCAGGATTATGACACGTATGTAATGATCTTAACTGATCTAGCCACCACATCAACAATGTGTCAGAGTGTGTGTCAGTGATTAAGGCTGATGGCTTGTTCCAAATCTGTAGCATTTGAATGACTGAGGTTCTACCTTTCCTTGGGAGATCTCTTCAGGAGCTGCTGTTGCTTCTTCGTGCTTCTGTCACTGCCAGGAAGGGCAGTGGCAGCCCTTTGTAACTTGGCATGTTTGCTTGGTTTGTCCCTCCAGGTCTGCCCTTTCATGGCCCTGGGTTACTCTGTAATGCTGCTTTACCTGGTCACTGATCCCTTCTTGCTGATGGTGCATTTCAAACATGAGTGCCCTGTTTGATTCAATGGAACATGTCAGCTCTGTCTCTTAGCCAGGCTGTGGTTGGGTTGGCTTTTCTCTTGCTGCTTTCAAATCTCCTGAGAGTACTGTAGGGTGCTGCATTGAAAGAAGTTCCGAAACTGTCAAGGCCAAGTCTGCAACCTTTGAGTAACTGGTAGCGGGCCACGGGGAGCTAGATGGTGTACCCATTCCTTGTGGCAGGAATTCAACCTTTGCCTCCAGTGGCTTTCTGGTTACAAACCAGTGAGTTATTAAAGAATTGCTCTTTCTCATTTCTTGCTGTTGCCCTTCCTCTCCAGGGACAAGCTGTTTCCTGCATTTGGGTTTGGAGCTCAGGTTCCTCCTAGCTGGCAGGTAGGACCTTCACAACGCTGGGCGGGCAGTTGCTCTGTCCATGTCTGCATTCCCTAACTGTTTGTAATGTCCCTTTTCCTAGGTATCTCATGAGTTTGCTTTGAACTTCAACCCCAGCAACCCTTATTGTCAAGGTGAGGACACCTCTTATATTAATACATATTTCACCGAGAGGGGCAGATGCTTGAAGTGGTGTGTTTTATTCATAACTGGTGAAAACCAGATGCATCACTAAGACATGCAGCGAACTAGATTTACTCTCACCTGGATGCCGACAAGAACGGATACGTCTTGATGCAGACTCGTGTGCGGTTACTTCTGGTACGGTACGGGTGTCGGTGGATTCAGGTCAGTGGTGTGTCTGTGATAGCCATGCTTCCAGAGCAGCCATCTGCTGCAGCTGTTGGAGAGTATGGTTACTTCGTCAGCCATGTGTATGTGTCGGAATGTTACCGTTTAAGGGGTTGTCTTAAAAGCGTATTTTCTCTATAGCCATCTTTAGTGGTGGTGGTTTCAGCTGTTTTTAATGGCCACTCTGTGAGCAGGATTATGACCTTTTAGGGTGTAGTGACACAGAATTGTTCTTGAACAAACAGTTTTAATTCAGTTCAGTTTTTCTCCCTGGTCGAAGGCCAACAAAAAATAGAATCTGAGATTCAGCGTTAAAATCAAAGCATTTCCTCAGTCAGTTCAGCATCGTCTGCTGCACTGGGATCTGTGTCTTTGCCCTTCAAGGCTCCCCGTGCAGTAGTTTTGAGGGTTGCCCACCATGCAGTTTTGAGTGTGGTAAAGCAAGCAGCTGTGGCAAATGAAGCTACATTGACACAAGCCAGGGCAATTTAGATGGATCCACAGAAGAATATGCACCATTTAAAATCTGACTTCCGAAAGTTTTGTTTACTTAACCTGAGTAAAGCTTGCATGGGAAAAACCTTAGGGATTGCCACTTCTGTTGCAGAAACATTTGATTCCTGAATCAGGGTTCGTTGTCTAACTTTCACACAAGGAAAAGTAGAAGTTACTGTTCCAGACAGCTGCTGACCTTGTTATCTAATTAGACTGTAAGTAATTAAACAAGACAAATTGGATGACAAGGTATAAAGAACACGGTCATTGGTGTGCCTGCACTGGATTATTTTTCCTGCAACTTCCATGAGCTTTGTGATGTTAGAGGCACAGAGAGTAATGTGAAGAATGTAGAATGGGGAAGAAATCTGCAAATTGTATCTCTGCAGATGCTCACTGGTTTCCACCCTGTGCTTTGTATATTTGCTGTTATCCTGCTGTTTCTTTGTCCTTCAGGAGTTCATGGCTCTGTGAGAGTTGTTATCCTTTTGCCGTACTGTTTAGTTATGCTTACAAAGTAATTACTGGAGAAGTTGTGAGGCTCTTGTGGCAGTCTGCCTTCCTTGTGTTACAGGCATCCAAGGAGTAGTGGATGCTTACCGCCAGATCCTTCCTCAGATCCGACTCTATGGACCAACCAATTTCTCTCCTATTATAAACCACGTGGCACGGTTTGCAGCGCACTCGGCACAACAAAGAACTGCTTCAGTGAGTGCATGTCCTTTCCTGTGGATCTGTGTTGGGTCAATATGTCTGTTTTCCATGTTCGTGGTGGGGTAGAATGGAATAGTAAAGTGATGTTGTCCTTATTCCTTTGGATCCCAAGTGTGGTCCTCTCCTGCCAGCTTGCAGAGAAGCTTTTGGTACTCTCTTGGTACCTTGATAGGAACCTGCACTTGGTAGACATTGATGTTCATTTCCATTGCTCAAGTGATATTTATTTCTCCTTTTCACAGTTTGCTGGTGTTGTACTTACTATTGAAGTACATGGGGTGCCGTGTTGGCTTTTAGACCAGTTGGACTCTGTCAGTGGTTGCCTGGCTCTAGCCTCTCTTGCCAAGCTCCATCATGTGTAGGACTATATGTTTTATTCCAAACAATTTTGCGCTCAAGAACATACGCAAAGACCGCCTCTGAGAAAAGTATCACAGGGCTCAACTACCTGTCCCACCATGGTGACATGCAGAATCAGGATATCTGGAGGGCTGGATTAACAAAGGAGTCTGCGGACTGTTTAAATCACTGCTGATTGCATTGCAGAGCATCCATGCTACCCTACAGTTGTTGCATGTCTCATTTGTGTGCTTGTGTGGCCATGGCTGCTGTAAAATTCAAGTCCATTTCTTTAAACACAGTCCTTCGTGCTTAAGGATGAAGGACTTGTATTTCCTGACGGATTTAACTGATTCCATTTTGACAGGCCAGTCGGAAGGAATGTTGAGGTACACACCAGCACCTGCTTTATGGCCTCACTGTGTCAGTATTTTTGGTTCTACTTACGTTTATGTGTATGTCGAATAATTTTTGCCACACTGTGAGGTACTTGGTCTAGGGAGATATATTTCTTACGTTTCTGAGGGTATTTTTTAGCCTTCCCAGTACTTGTGGGAATCTTCTTATTTTACTTTGCATGTTAAATATCTTTTTCTTTTGGATGAAAAACTATTGAAGTAAAGAATCTGTCAGTAATGGAGCACAACCATAGTAACACTTGTGTTAACTGGAGTTTGCAATTCGAAATTCAGTTTTCTTTTATTTGCAGTTTGTGACTCGTTTTTTATTTTCATTTTTAAGTCTGTACATAGGTGCTATAAAACAGTGGTGGTTCATTTCAGAACAAGGTGCTAAACCTTAGCCTCTGGAAAAGGAAGGGAATTTTAAATACTTTGGTTTGAGGTATTTTTTCTTCCTAGCAAAGCTGCTGTATTCTTTCCCTCTTGTTATCTCTAGAGTGTCTTTTTGTCATGACATTTGTCTGCTGTATTTTGAGATTTTGAGTACTTGTCATTGGAATCATCAGTAACTGCAAAAGGCGGCTATTGGAGTTAATGCTCCAGGGATACTAAATATTAAACTTCAGCTTTTCTGAGATGGCGGAATAATGCAGCATCAGTCAGTGAATTGTGTATGCAGCTTTGTTGGTTTAGTAGTACTTTGCTCATCTCTAATACTTTCTGCCAGTTGGTGGTGTAGTTCTTTATATATAGAATTTAAGCCTCTGTCTCTTTTCTAGTACAGAGGAAATCTGAAGTGCGCGATGGAAAGTGTTATGCGTACAAAAAAAATGGGAATAAACATAAGTTTCTTTAATGTTCTGGGTTTATGTTACCTACAGCATCATCTGATTTCTTTCTTAGAGTAAGAAATCGCTCCATTTGCCTTCTGTTATATGAACTTTGGTGTTGAACTCCCTAACTGGGTGCTTTCTAATGTTTTTCAGCAATATTTTATCTTGCTGATCATCACAGATGGGGAGATCACTGATCTGGACCAAACCAGGCAAGCGATTGTTGATGCCTCTAAGCTGCCAATGTCCATCATTATTGTTGGAGTTGGTGAAGCTGATTTCAAAGCAATGGAGTTCCTTGATGGAGACAATGGTGTTCTGAAGTCCCCGACGGGAGAGCCAGCTGCACGAGACATTGTCCAGTTCGTGCCTTTCCGACAGTTCAAAAGTGTAAGTTGTCTTTACCTTCAGAAGAGTCCTGGTGCTGGTACATATGCAGTTACTGCATCTAAAAAAGGAGCACGGATCTAGACAAGGCAGCAAGCTGCATGCTCTGTCCAAGCTGCTTGTTCCCAGTGAGAGTTCTTTGCTCTGTGTGCCTTGTTGCAGTGCTCTTGCAGCTTTTCTCAGAGCTCTCACTCTGTCATTGATTTTAGTATACTGTCTCTTGGCTGTTGCACAGTTAAAGGAGTAAAGGAGAGGTTTTCTTTCCTGGGATGTTTAGGGAAGGAACAGATCTTATTGTCAGGGTCTCATGTTGAGTTCCGTGAGTGATTTAAGCAGAGATAAGTCTTCCCTGCTGTTGACAGCAGTCCTGTCATTGCCAGCTCCTCCCTACTTCCACTGTTGGCACTAGCATTCATGCATGTTGCACAGTGAATTGGGTTGAAGACTGGAGTCAAATCAAAACCCAGACCAAGAGAAATTACTAGTGGCAGGGGCAGTTTCCCACCCACATCAGGGCCGTGTAAAGGCTGTGGGAGCAGTGCATGGGGTGGGGACAAGTGATTTTCATTAGCAGTGCTCACAGAGACTGACTGGAAGTGCTCCTAAAACTGCAGCAAAGAACCTTTGAAACAGGGAGTGAGATGTGACAGGTGGGGGGCTGCACTCTGAATTCTCTAAGAGGGTTTGTCACTGGGCTGGTAAATCCTCTCTCTGCAGTATTTCTGATTTATTCTCCCTATTCTCCTTGCAGGCTCCCCGGGAAGCTCTTTCCCAGATGGTTCTGGCTGAAGTGCCTAAGCAGCTGGTGTCATACTATAAGTGGCAGGGATGGCCACCTGTGAAACTGCCAGAAATGAAGATTGCAGCCTGACCCTGGCCACCTGCATCGCGGGGGTGAAGAGAGCTGCCTGCACCCGCACTCCCCCTGGCACACTCTGGGTGCTCAGTGCCTCGAGATTGTACCATGTCCACTAATCCTTTCACCTGCTTGTGCTCTCTATCTTTGAACTTGCCTGTTCCTAATCGGAAGAAACATAATTACAGAAAAAACACACTTGCTGGCAGGTTTTGTCACAGAAAAATAGCCCGTGTTGGTTTTCCACCTTGCAGCAGTGACACATCATCCCACGCATCATTGCTTGACATGGCCCATCCGTTGCTCGGTGTCTGTGGGCATGTGCACTGAGCTGCTCACAGAGCACTGCTTCAGTGCTGGGTTTGGAAGGAGAAGTGTTGGGGTCGTGTTTACTGTAACGATAATTATTGTGTGTTCCTTGATAGGTTTTTTCCTTCTATCGAGCTGCCGTGGGAGAGGGGACTCTTCTATGCTGGTTGGTACCGCAGTTTGTTGATTGGATGCCTGAGGTAGTTGCTGTTGTGCCTTCATAAAGTGCCAGTATATTTTTATATGTAGAGGTTTATTTTGAAATTTCAGTGACCATACTTGGCAAACTTTTTTTATAATCACATTTTTCTATTGGAAATAATGGCCTCTGTGATGTTCTCTTGCTTGGAGCTATCGTTGCAATGTAAGCACACTGCACTTTGCTTATTTGTGGGGGGATTAATGAGGATTAATCATCGATTATTAAGGGGTAGGATTAATGAGTCACATAAATCTGACTTTCAAAATCTAGCAACTGGAAACTTTGAAATAAAGATGCTTTTGAGTGATTTCTTTGTGTCACAGAAGTTACTAAACGAAGAAGTAACCATCTGTGGAACTCCAAAGAGGTGCTTCCTCCTCCTCAGATGTATTATGTGGTCTGGGGACTGGAGACAGGCACTTGATAGGAAAGCACAATTGTTTTGAGAGATGGCAGTTGATAGTTCATTTCAAAATACAGGAAAAGAAACTTGGGCTTGTTGTTGCACTACAAGTGGTTATCACTTTCAGTTTCAAAAATAATGTGCTTTGATAACATGTCTGGACTCATTTCCTTTCTGGGTTTTTGTTTTCCAGCGACGTGGATGTTTTGGTTTATGGAAGGCCTTTGCTATAGTACTAGCCTGGCTGGTGATTCAGCATCCAAGTTAGTGTGGGTTGAGTGTGATCAGCTGCAAAAGCAGAGCAAGTTGTCCATCATCATTAGTTTTCAATAGATTAGTTAATCACTGAGGACTGCTGAATGTATATCCTGCAGCCTTGTCCTGCAGTAGGATGAGCTGTTCCTTTACTGTGAAATTATGAAAGAACTTGCCAGTTCTAGCAGGTCAACCAGGAAATGGTGAGAGTATGTTGGAAGATTGCCCTGGTGATTCTGGCTGTGAAACTGGTAGGTTACAAACCTGTGTGAAAGTACAGTAGTTCTGGATGGCATCGGCCACCAAAACACTACATCACTGGTGTTTGAAGGGCTATGGGTCTAGGACTGCTGCTGAGCAAATCTGTGCTGGTATTTTATTCCCACCTAGTTTTGACCAGGATGTGTTCCCCAAGGTTCCACAGGCAGCAGACGCCTTCCTTTAGAGGAAGCTGGGCTGTCTCTCCTGACATACTCCATCATCTAGTCTGCAGCACCTAATTTGCTTGTTCTTACTTAGATTCATGAAGGAAGCCAAGCAACCTCTCGAGTGGCTGCCTGAACTAAAATGTGTTACAAGTGTGGAAGACTGAGGAAAACTGCCAAGTCTCCTCTGAGAAACTGCACTGTGGCCGAGAGCATCCTTTACTCGTGTTTTCAGATGCTTACAACCTGTGGGCAGCTCTCCTTCCCTGTACTACACGTACAAGCAAACCTAAGGCTGTTTTTTGTGTATGTGCATATATTTTTTACTTTTCAATAAAGAGTCTGTATAGGATATGTACGTCAGTAATTCTGAAGGCTCACCAATCCCTTGTTTGGACCAGGAACCACCGGTGGCAGCGTAGCTCCTGGCTTCAGTGAGTGGTTTCTTTAGCAAGATGTCAGAAGCATGTTGGGCCTTTCCTTTGCTCTAGCCTTGAGGGACAGAGGATGAGCTCTGAGACTGCAGAAAGTGTAGTGGAAAATCCATTTCCCCTCTGCTGGAAGCTCACTGGGGAGGGTTCCTCTTGCTTTAGGACACCTGGCAATAAACACCAGTGACATTTCATGCCAGACTATGCCACGCTACCTCACAGAGCTCCCTCCTCTATGGGAGATAATGCTCTGTCACCCTTCTTCGCTTGTTGGGCTGAGGACCCTACTTGGGGTCTGAAATGGCTGGGTTCCCCCAGGGACCGTTTCACCAAAACTGAGGCAGACACCATCTTCAGGTGAATGCAAGTGATGGGGCTGCTCCGGGTGTTTGAGGAAGCCACACAAACTCCACTGGGAGATGATGGCATTTGTTGAGCTTTGAGCAAATACTGGATCCCCCCCCCCATCAGGGGCATGTTTTGATGGTCTGAATGTCTCATTAAACAGCCTAAATTGCACCCCCTGCCCCACCTTCATCCATGACTGGGTGTGAGGTCAGTGCACTGAGCTTTCTGTGCTGCCCTAAACTGATCAGCTCCCTCACTGGCTTCACAGAAGAGGTGCCAAATGCTGTGTTTAGTTGCTGCACCATGAGGAGGCATCCTCCCCGCTGCAGCTTGTTTCCACTGCTACTGGTGCTGCTTCCCTGACTCTCACTCCAGGAAGCTCTTACCCAAGAGTGAGATAAAGGGAATAACTGCAGGGCTTGCTTTGGAGCAGCCTGACATTGCACAGGCATGATTCACCCCTCCGTGTTTGTGGAGCTGGGTTGGCCAGCCTGGCCTGCTGCAGTGAGCCCTGTGTGGTGTGCGTGGGTGCAGGTATTCAGTGCTGGGTGCTGAGCAGGAGAGCCAGACCCCCAGGAGGAAGAAATGCCTTCCCAGTCCTGCTGAGCTCTTGATTGTAGAACCGCTTTTAGCTGGCCTAAATCTGTGCTCCGGAAGGGCTCCAGCACCTCTTGTTCACCAGCTCTCGTGCAGGTGAGATGAGCTGGGTCAGGCCAGGGGGTGCAGCTGTGGGCACTGCCAGCTCCGGGGACGATGTGCACCCTGCTCCCAGGCACCAGCCCCTTCGGAGCCACTGGAGCTTCTACCCCACCATCCGTGGATTACCATGCTCTGCCCGGCGGGGCAGGCTGCAGCCGCTGGCCCCGGGATGCGCTCTGGCGTCCTGCCTGCACCAGCATCGCTCTTGGGGTCCCTGCGCTGGCACGCTTGCACGCGGGAGGTGTGGGGGCTGCTGAGCACGTGCCAGTCCCAGCGCAGTTTCCACGCATCAGGGTAGCCCAGCCCTCTCGGTCAGAAGCCACGAGTGGGCCTGACTGGTTTCCCTTCCCTACCCTCCCTCCGCTTGCTGTAGAGAGGTTTACCCACGGAAGCCGTAATTTTGTGCTGGAGAAGGTGCAGGGCCGGGAGGGAGCAGCGCTGGGCTCCCGGCCTCGCCCGCATCCTCCTCCCGGGCGTCACGCCTGCCCTGGAGCGCGGCCGTGTGATGGACGGCCTTCTCCCTGCTCGCCGTCCC